GTGATGTAGGCGCCACCTAGGTCGCATTCCATGTCAGGAGGGGGGTTGGGCTGCTTTGATTTCCTCTCCGGGAGCAGGAGAAATAGTCCCTGTAGGCTGATAAAGTGCAGTAGCGCTTTAGAAGCCAGACTTGTTTTGTTAGAAGTGTAGTTATTTAGCCTTCCCCAACCATTGTGCAAGGCGCTAGAGTTGGGGAGGTGTTGGGCTGCTGTCCACAAAGCCAACAGCTGAGAGGGAGAAAGATGCGGCTCTTTGTTCCCATCCAGCTTTGCAGGCTTGGAAGCCCGGGAGGCAGTTCTACTCTGTCCTGCAGGGGCGTTCGGGGCCAGGATTGATTCTCCGTCCACGGGTGTGGTTTGATTTCCCAACCTCTGTTCTCTGGGTGATTTTTCTGTGAGGTATGGCTTAGAGTTGAATCGGACATAAAGACCTAGGAGCTATTTTTCAGCTTTCCTAATCAAACCCGAATATTAGAGAGAGGAGGCGCTCTCGTGGCTTACAAATGGAAAATATTTTTCACAACTTTGGAAAAAATAGCACCTGAAGTCATCCTGTTGATAAACTGGATAAGATTCAAGATGTTTTCCCTTGAAGTCATTATAAAACAAAGCAAAGCAACCAGCTTGACCTCGATAGTTTCATCAAGTCAAAAGCATGGAAGGGCTCAGCCTTCAAAGCAAAAGCATATTGCATCTATCATTGGATTCTGTTATAAAAGCTTACAGTGTGCTGCAATGAACATCAGTTCAATATGCTAAAATGTCCAAAAGTTCACAGAAGATGATCCCCCCCCTTTTTTTTTTAACATTGTGCAAAATATGGCAGTGGCAACTTCCTGCTTAGGCTTTGTTGCTTCTGAGCTAGATGGCCACTTTTTTGCCTTCAGGCTTTTAAGACCCCAGGCGCTATATCTTTTGATAGCCAGGCACCATCAGCTTTCTTCACCACATTTGCTTATTCACCCGCTTTGTCTTCAGCAGTTGTGTCAAGAAGGTGAGCATCATAGAATGCCAATTTAATAGAAGAAAGTATTCTTGCATTGAGGGAGTACTTGAGTGGAGGCCCAAAGACATTTACTTTCTATTGAGCCCTTGGTATCAGTTCCTCATTTTTCTCCCCACTTCCCCCACCCTCATAACCCCTTGATAGATTATGTTTCTCTTCCCTCTCATTTTATTTACTCGGCTTCTGTCTTCCTATGTTATTGATTTGTAAACCCTCAAATCATTTGAGAAATGATCTTGGGAGTCCCTGATATGCTATCCTCCGTGGGCTCATCACAGTGGGGGCAGTATATATGTACCCTTCAGAGTTTATGCCCTTGAGACCTGGCAGCTGCTAGCTATCTATCCCCAGAGTACTGAGTGTGGTGAATACATCATATTGTTGGATTTCAAAGTAGATATGTTTGCTAAGAATCGCATTAACCTCCCTTTCAAAGTCATCCCAGCAAAACTGAAATATTCACAGTGGTTTTCTTTTCAGGATCCCGTTCTCTATCCCAGCATTGCAGACACTGATAAAAGTGCTGTAGAAGAATGCCATTCCCCGCTGCCCTGGAGCATGCTACAGTACCAGGTTAGTCGCCTTTGTGAGAGATTCCAGGAGCCTGGGCTGTAACTCCTTCACCTGCACAGTCCCACCTGTCTCTTAAGCT